AATGTAAGCAGAGAGGAGGCTTGGATGAATTAAAAACCAGCGTAAAATGACTTGAAGAGCAAGCAAGACAGAAGATTATGTTGGATGACTAAACTCTGAAATTGTCTACTCATGGTTGACTTAATCATCATCTAGACAAAGATGCTCAGTCTTGAGGCCTTTGAACCTTTGAGCAGTGTTTGCTCTTGAAATACAGAATGTCTGAATCTGAAAGAGTGAATGTAGAACATCAATACCGCACTCCCACTTTCTCTCTTGCTTCCTATTTCTATCAACCTCTATCAGCAGCTTTGCTTGCCTGCTACTTCTGCTTCTCTTCGCTTTAGATGGAGGAAGTGGTTTGTGAGCAGACTGCGGCTGGCTGGAACACTGTGCTGTGCACTGGGGAAGCCGAAATTTGAGCCCCTGTACATTAAATGTTCCACTAGAGCAACAATTTCTGTGAGGGGAAATCGTGTGGTGGGCCAGTGTTAGAGGATCGAAGGGGAGGAGGGCTCAGTCAGAGTAGGAAGAAGAGAAAGCTGGGGGGTGTAATGGGGGGAATTGCTCATGACTCTAAATAAGAACTTGGCCATTCAGGCGGTTGAGTTGGTTGTTGCACACCATATACTGCAGAGCTGGATTAAAACCTCAAATATCATCTCAGTCATTCTTGTCTCTCTATCTCCCTCTGCTGTCAGCACACATACAAGGCAGGAAAAAAGAAAGAATTACAGAAATTTGTTTCAGTGCCAAAGAGTAGTAAAACAGAATCACTGTGCCTCCTGTGGATATGCTTTAATTCAGCACATACTAAGTTGTCTATAATTAAATTCAATAAACAGCTTAATTTTAAACTATTAGTAAAAGAAATTGTGTGCTGAGAATTTGTGATGTTGATCATTACTAGTTTATCAAATGACATAAAGATTTGTATTTAAGGCTCACCTTAATCTAAATAGTGCAGCTGTCAGAGCTGCTGAGCCCAATAGTTTAATTTGAAAAAAGCTCCTGATTGAAATATTTAGAAAAAAAAGGCTGGCTATGATTAAAACTAAAGCTATAATAACTTTAATTTTGTTTATGTTAGATGGGAATAATGTAACCATCCGGGTCAACCAATGCAACTGATAGGATAGGATCAAAAATTATGCTTAGTGTAATTTTCTAACCCTGTATGTCAGCCTCAACTCAAGCATTGATTTGCTTTATTTGTCATTTTAAAAAATAGCCAATGGAAGCAGGTTTTAGTCTGCAATATTAGTTATCCAATTTGCTCTTTGTATAATCTGGTTTCCCAGCTGTGAGTCAGCTAAAGAGCTAGAAGACAAGGGGGGAACTTTCTAACCATTGTAGTGGTTTTCACAATCTGTCAGATTTCTGTTGGAGTCAGCTTGAGTCAGCTTGAGTCAGTGAGACAGTGGTTTGTTAAATCAGATTAATCTGTTTGGTCTTTTTCGAAGTCATCTGCTGAGCAGATTGATTGAAGTAATGTCTGAACGAAAAATGCTGCCTCGCACTTTACTTAGCGCAACAATTAACTCTTAGGGATTTTTCTGAGAACTGTTGCGAATCAGCAGGTTTAATTTAAAAATGGAGTGAATCTCGTTCAAATATATTAGAAAAAGTGTGGCGTACTGGCAAAGATTCCAGTAGCTCTCTTCCTGCACACTTACCTCTTATTGTTGTCTATCCAGCTGCAATTACAGAATTTTAGCTGTGGAGAACAAGCTGGTGTATAAAAGTGTTAGTACTTTGTGTGTAAAATTCAAAGAATAAGGCGAGTGAGCGATATGAATATATTTTTGATTAACTTTTTTCAAGATAGACCACTTTTCTGTAAAGCAGCACAATATAATGAAGAGACGTGTTCTTGTTAAACACTTAGGTCTAGAGATTTTAATTACAAAAATGACACATGAATAATATAAAAGATAATTCTTCCTTATTGGTTCATTACCTTAACAAAAGAATAACCTGTAACATAATTTAGAAAATCCTGTCATATGTTAATTTTATCCTAAATGGCGAATAATCAAGTCATAACATGAAAAGACATTGTCAAATGGTTTTAGAATTAGGCCATAGGCCTGATAGTTTAACCTACCAGCTAAGATGTTAAAGCCTAGCTTGGTTTAAAAGGTGAAAAGCTACATTAAAAAGAGAGTACAGGATTAAAAAGGAAATCCCCATTTAGACTAAATTTCTACATTTTTTAAATAGACAGGCAATCTGATACCAACTTTCTGCATTGCCACTACAAGGCAAGGCAAACAAGACTCTGACAAACCTGAAACTGCGAGTTAACTCTTAACTGTGTTTTACAGTTATTTACAGTCTCTTCTATCCAGTTAGACAAAAAAAAATATCACAAAACTTTACAGCTATTCAACGAAAATATTGTCCAGTGTTGCCATGACTTCCGTTCGCCATCTTGGTTGCAACAAGACGAGAGAAGCCGAGAGAAGCCGAGCGTCGCGCGTAGTTGAATATGTGGTTAGCACACCTGATAGATAGCACAACCAAATTTGCGAACCTCTCTTTATCCTGTTAAATAGAAACAATATATAGATCATTTGATACATTATTAGTTTGAAAATACATAACTAGAGACCTTAAACGCTTTATTTAACTAGATGTTAAAGGCTTTATATGCGATTTTTTTTTTGATCCAGCAGATGTCGCCCTTGAGCACCAGCATGAAACCAAAACAACTCGCGGTGCATTGATCTAGAAACGGAGTCAATCAGTGAGTACAGTATGTTATTCTTCTTTTCTCTAGTCCCTCAATTAAACAACTTTTATACGCGAGGGGAGGAGTCAGCCGGCCGTCCTGGAGATATAAAGTGAAGATAGACTCGGGAAACTCGGAAAGCATCACAGACAGTGGGACTCGGGTGTTACACCCATTGTAGACAGTCATGACTCACTGAGTTATTTTCAGAGGATATACTTGATTTCTATTACATTTAAGTGTGAAGAATCGCATATAAAGCCTTTAAAAATAAGTCTTTAACAAAGATAATCCAAACCATATTAGATATAGATACATAAAATAAGATAAGATGAGTACACGGAGTGGGAGCTTCAGTGTGGTGCAGAGAGTAAGAAGGTGGAGGAGGAAGGGACGGTGGGGGCTTCGGGGGGAGGGGATATATATGTATATATATATATATATATATATATATATATATATATATATATATACGTATATGTATATATAGAGAAAATCTTGGGTGGTAGTAAAGTATTGTCGCCACAAGATGGCAGCAAACTGTTAAACATTGAGGCTTAACCCAGTTTAAAGAGCTGTCAGAGGGTCAGGACAGTAAACAACAAGGAAATGAAATTCCTAATGTAAAACAGACTCCCCATAATTCACTACAACAGAGAGAACGGATTTAAAGCTTATATCCAAGCCAGTCAGTTACCACTGTTGTTTTATATGCTATTTATAAAAACAAATATTGTCGATATCCATGCATGTTAGCTTTCATTATGAAAAGTAAAAACAGAACATGTGAGACATGCTGGCTCCTCTAGGTCTGCAGGTTCGTGTGTTTACCACCTCCACCCAATGGATGATGTCTGCTTCTCCCACATCATCTTCATGATGTTAATGGGGATTATTATGCATGTCTAACATCATGAGGAATTTGACTTCAGTGTCTCAAAGCGGTGGCACAACATGTAAGTTTCACATCAGATCACAACCATTCACATTATAAATCTGACAAACTCTCTTATGTTCTTTATTTTTAATTGAGCTGAAATACAAAACCTGATGAAAAAAATAAATCATGAGGTAAAACCTTCTATATTATTATTTTAGTTTTTACAAACAATAATACAGGCTCAATAACAACAAAGTATTCCACAAGTGTTCTCTTACAGATATTGAGGGGGGAAAACCAACCCCACCAACCCATCAAACCACAACATGCATATAGACACAGGAAATACTATTATTCCAGACAGGAAATGCTGAGAGTTGGGCCTCACATGTTACTCCTAAAGGCTGAGATTGAGTGGGGGAGCGACCACTGAATGACAGTATGAGTGAGTGTGAGGAAAACCAGTAAGACTGAAAACCATAATGACCTATTTGCAATGAGCAATTTTTCTCATATGATCCAGAAGAGGCATAATCTGTCCTTGGCCCAGTCTTGGTGACATTTACTCCAGCATGTGCAGACACTTACAGTTCACACACATTAATGCACCAAACAAAGCCAGTATTGTTGTTTGCAGCCACGAGAGAAGAGTCTCACTGAGCTGTTTGAAGCTAAGCAATCCATGGTAACTGAGGTGGAATCTTGGCCTGTCTCTTATATCAGTGATTCTCAACTGGTTGGTCGGGACCCAAAAGTGGGTCGCAAAGCCATTTTCAGTGGGTCGCGAACATGTGACTGGAAAAAAGTGTAAAAAGTACATGAAGCGCTCTTCAAACATGTTGGTTTTGTTCCTTCTCTTTGTTCCGTCATATACGACTTTGTAGCAAGAAAAAAAAAATAGAAGTTAGAGAGAAAAACGTACCATAGATTCATACGAGAAAATAAATTCTGAATGTTTTTATTCCTTTTATTTAATAAAAGCATATTTTTAAACAATGGATGATAACAAATTAACATCATCAAGAATTTGTTACCACTACCGTAGTCTTTACATTGGAAGAAGAGAAACATTGTCAGTGTGTTCACATGGGTATAACTTTTTCCTTGTGTTTCATACAGTGTGTGTTTTCTTTTCTTTCTTTTTTTAAATAAGGGGATAATTAGTGTCAGTGTAGTTTAAATGATGCTTAAATAAAACATTTTACTGTCTTATCCTATCAATGTCTGTGTCACTCACACCCGCAGACACACACACATCTATGCACACCGGATGACGTGCAGCTAGCTCTGTGCCTGAGTAGCAGACTGCGACACAGTGTCCAACTCCCTCCCTCCCTCCCTCCCTCCCTTCCTCTCTGAGTTTCTGCAGTCCTCTCCTCTCCTCTCCTCTGCTGTCCGAGGCAGTGCTGCTCCGGCTTCCTCCTGCAGTCCTGCCTGCCTGATTATCAATAAGCTGTATTAGCCCTTCACTAATCATATTGCAAGAGACGGAGAGTGAGAGAGTAGGCAGCTAGACTCTGTGTGCATCATTATCACTGTGTGTGTGTGTGTGTGTGTGTGTGTGTGTGTGTCTTTGCGTGTGTGCAGCCAGGGAGGGAGGGAGGAGGGAGGGGTGTATCCTAGCGAGGAGCTTTTCCCTGTTGTAGTAACCAACCGCACACGCCGACTGCCAGCCATTACTTCACTGCAGCAACAATCAGCCCCTCCGTACTTAGTGAGCCAGACACACTAACCTGTCTGTCCCCTCCTCTTTTCTCTCTCTCTGCATATTCAGCAGAGCTGCCCTCCTCTCCTCCTCATCACTCCGCCACTCCTGCGGCGTTACTCTCTGCTTGAAGGGGACACTGGCCTGCTCCTCACCCACTGATTCTGCATGACTGTCACAAAGGTAAGACCGCTCCGTAAGGGGGACAACTTTTCAGCATGTCACCAGTGATTAAAGGTGGAATTGTACTGAACAGGTTATTTCAGGTGTTTTTACTTATGTGTGTGTGTTTGTGTCTTGTTGGGGGTAAAGATGAGTTTTTTTAAAGAGTGTCTGAGTTGCCGGGTAGGACAAGGTGACCAGGATGCTGCTGCTTGCCTATGTGTGTTAATTTATGTTTGTGTGACTGTTTCCTTTATGGAAGCACTCGAGATGAGACCAACATCAAAATTCAGTGATTATATTCTCACGCTGCAGCATATTATAGTCCAGAAACAATGCTCTCTTTTTTAGAGGAAATTAAATTCTATAAACTTTTTATTAAATGAGACTTGGTAAGCGGAGAGAGAATTCAGTACCAGGCCGTTCACTTGATGCTTTAAATGATTATTTTCTGTCTTTTAAACTCAATCATCATATTAAAAAGTGCAGGATTGTTATGAGATCTCACATTGATGAAACGTGTTTCACATGTTGTTGTTTGAGGTGTTTCATTCATTGCCATCAATAAGAATATGAGAACTGTTTGGTGGACTTCCAGCTTGAGAGAGTAATGATATCTCATAAAGCCCTGCTGTGTTTCTGACAAACGTGATTTACAATCCTAATTAACTGAAAGCTGACCATTGCAGTTTGCATATTCTGGCTTTCAGCTGATTTCTAAGTTCTTTACATGAAAACTTTACTCGATTATTTGGGATTTCCCCAGGGTTAGTCTTATTATGGCCTGAAATGTTAAGAAAAGTTCAAATAGTTACAATGTGGGGGTCAGATCCCATTAGAGAGTGATGAAAAGGTTTGACAAAAGCAAACTGCCAGTGTTTGAAGCGCTACATTTGATCTTGTTCAGTGTTTGGGCTAAGTAAATGTTTGGGTAAATGTCTTGGTTAAGCATACAGCTGATCTACAAACTGATCTTGAAGTAGCTGTGCAGGCCTGGTTGGGTGACTGTTTATGTGCACCCAAGTGTGGCTGGGTGGTCAGAGTCAGTGCACCCTGCTGCAGCCGGTTAAATCCTCTTAATCAATTAGCAGAGCGGGAGAGAGCGAGAGCGAGAGAGAGAGAGAGAGAGAGAGAGAGAGAGAGAGAGAGAGAGAGAGAGAGAGAGAGCAAAGAGAGACACAAAGAATGAGAGACACAGGAGGACACACACACACACACAGGAAATTAGCACACCTACTCCCATGTAGAGAATTAACCTGGACTAAAATAGATGACCTACTGTAGTCACAGGACAATGGCCTATTTACTCACACTTATGGCTTCACACCTACAACTTCCACATACTACGTTTCTGTTAACGTAGAATTAGCGTAGGTTGTATTTCCAGGCTGCAATCTCCACAGCACAACCACACAAAATCACAGACGATTGCTCTCCAAGAACAATTTTCCTGCCTGCGAGTGAGAGAGATTGTGTGGGAGGTGTGTGTGCCGCTGCGTAGGTGGGCGTTCTCCACTACGAGAACTGAAAGAGGAAAAGGTCAGTGTGACGGGGTCTTCTTTCAAAACACCCAAAATCTTAAAAACACAGGCGTAGTCGAAGACTGCAATTCATGTGTTTTATTTTTAGCCAGCCTCCCAAGGTGCAGTGACAGATATTTACAAAATAAATGCAAGAACAGGAAAAAAATTGTATGTAAACTATATACAAAACAAAAGTCTTCCAAAAACAAAATTCCAAAACAAAACTGCACTTCAAAAATAAAGTCTCCAACACTGTAACCAGGACTAGATTGCCTGAGTCCCTCCCGCTGGGCGTTATGAATGACATTAGGACATTTTAAAGGCTTTATATGCAATTTTTTGATCCAGCAGATGTCGCCCTTGAGCACCAGCATGAAACCAAAACAACTCGCGGTGCATTGTTGTGTTAGCATGCTAATGCTAGCGATCTTTATTATGCTCGTATCTTCACACTGCATGTAAATTTACCCGAAATGACCGTGACCTAGAAACACATTAAACAGTGAGAACAGAATGTTATTTCTTTTCTCTAGTCCCTCAATTAAAGTACTTTTGTACGCGAGGGGAGGAGTCAGCCGCCGTCCTGGCGATGTAAACAAACTGAAGATAGGACTCGGAAAACTCGGGAAGCATCACAGACAGTGAGACTCGGTGTTACACCCATTGTAGACAGTCATGACTCACAGAGTAATTTTCAGAGGATATACTTGATTTCTATTACATTTAAGTGTGAAAAATCGCATATAAAGCCTTTAAACAAAACACACTTTCTCATGAATGAGCGATTTTTAACTTGTACATTCATATGGTCTACTCATCACTAAATTAAACGTTTTAATCCATATTTATTAACACCACAGAAATGTATCTGTGGCGATACATTGTAAACAAACATTTAATTAAACAATCAATCACGTGATTACTATTGGGCGCTGCATCCGCCTATTTAGAATGCGGAAATGGGCCGAAAAACAAGAGTAGAGCTCTCAAGTGTGCACCCTTGGTCGCGCTATGAAACGGAGAGGGAAAGGAGGATGATGGGATTTACTGAGTGATTATAGGCGCACTGGCAAATGGAAAAGTTTGGCGTATGTGTGTGTGTAGGTGTGTGTCAGCGTGTGTGTTGGTGTGTGTGCTGACTGCAGTCAATGACGGAGCCGCTCCGTCACAGTCAGGTGTGTCCGCGTCGGCTCTGAGCCAAAGTCTAAATCTGACTGTAGACAAGGCCAAAGGCAATGAAGAGGATTTTAAATGAACATTTTATTCATTTTTTGCATGAATTTTGACTCCTACGTGCAATTACGTAAATGAGGGAAAGAGGGAGGGGGATAAGAAAGAAAGACAGAATGTGCTTTGACATCTCTGTGAAAAGGGTATAAAAGCCCATTACCCAGCGGTATCTAAAAGATGATGAGTGTGTGGGAGAAGCAGAAAGCGAGAGAGTCGAGGGAGCTGTTTTCATGGCTTTGCCTGCCAACAGCAGAGAAGTCACCTTGGGAGGGAGGCAGGACAAGAGCTTCTCTGCTGACGGGGCTAAACAGTCTGCTACCCCTCAGCACACAGATACACATTGACAATATTCTTAAGAGAGATCTCCTGCAAGTCCCACTTAGCACCACACCAAGATGTGTATGCTCTGGGATAAACTCTGAACATGGCAGAATAGATTCACAATGATGTTAAATGGGGACAGTGGCTTTTTCAAAGATTAGCATAAGCATGCTAGTATTGTCCTCTCATTGTTTGACATGATGTGCATGATGATGTGTTGAGTTGGTTATTAGCTCCAGCATTAAACAACAACGCATTACACTCATTAGTGTCTTCAAAGGAGGTGTAAACATTTGGATTATCTCATTAGCAAGTATCCATGCCTTATTCAACTCAATTACAAATGCAATAATTGGCAAATTAGGCTCCAAGAGAAGATTCTGAGCTCTGATTTATGAAGTGAAAAAGGTTGTTTTTTGAAGTCGAACGTTTTGTATCAACAACCAATTAAGAGAGACAGAAGAAGAGAGGAACTTAAGTGTTGATTAATGTCCAGGGGTAAAACATTCACATGGGAACAAATCATGAAAGCTAGCATTGTTTCATCAGACCAAATTAAAACAAAACAGACGTTTACTTTTATCCCACAACAGGGGGAACTCACTTAAATTATTATAAGATTCAATACTAGATTAACACCATAAAGTGAAAAGAAAATTACAAAAATAATAAAATGAGATAAGATTAATTCTATTGTCCCCGTGGGAAATTGGCCTTGGACTTCAAGCCAAGACTTGGACTTTTAGTCAAACATATTCTTATGACTGTGCTCATTGTTTCCCATAACTCTTCCAACCAGATTGCAACATTTCTATTGTGAAATCTAGATACATCCAATAATTTATCTGTTCCTGGGAGACACATTTTCTCTGTCTGTTTTACACATGTATAGGAACATTGAAGCTGAGTAACTTACTGGTTATCTTTTGTCCTTTCTCAAATACCCACAGGATTATGTATCTACAGCAAACAATGATTTACACACAACTAGCTATTACTTATTTTGGTAGGAACTGTGAAACACTTTTGTTTTTCACTGCGACAGACAGATCACCAAACAGAGACAGAAACTACCCGTCACTCTTCTGACAGAATGCTGACATTGAAAATGGGTCATTGCATGTTTAAATCTGTGGCCTTTGCTTTCAAACATAGCCCCTCTTGGCTGTGAGACTACTGGACCTTAAGCTCTTTAGCTTTTTAAGGCCGACACTTTAGTCCACTGGCAATCATTTCTTTGGGCTGGAGGTTCATCCCATATACGGCTTCCAAATATCTTCATACCTCAAATAGACATGTGAATATGATTGGTAAATTACCTGAGGGAAATCTGCTCTGCTAGATGATGTTATTAAACTGCAGGTTTATGAGGAGAATCAACTCTCTGTGTTAGTAAATGCCAAGTGCTGCCGGGAAAGGGCGTTTCATACTGCTAGAGTAGAGTTGTCTGTGATACCAGAATTTAGAATTTACAGCTTGTCCTAACAGCACGCGGCGTGAGCGAGCGACAGCGATAAAATACGCTTCATTCTATCATTTCCTATTGGAGTGTCCTTTTTGACCCCAAAGGCCATTTTCTAATTTTCTCTCTGTCGCTCGCAACGACATAAACGTTTTTTCAGCTCAGAGTCGTTTATTAAAGACCCTTTAAGTCTTGTGAGTTGAGTCAACAGCTTGTCAATACAAAACTGTTTGCAAGGGGAAACTGAAATTCACAGAGCAAAGAATTAAATATTGAACTGATGCAGTGTGGACAGCCAGCGTTCTATCATGCACTATAGGACGCAATATCTAACGCTCGTGTACTGTAAGGCCAAGGTGTTCGATACTATTCTAATAAAAAAAAAAGAGGGTGTAGGTGCCACATTTTGGGTGACTTCTCATTTTGAATCAAGACAGATTGCAAACAAACTTTTTCAAACTTAAATGCAGTAATAAATTGGCAGC